CTACGTTGTGACGTTAGAACCAATCTGAGACCTATCCGACGTTTCCACTGCTGGAAAATGTAAATAAGGATCGAAATTCAAAAACTAATTAATACAACTATATTAAAATCTGTGGAAAGTTAACAATAAAATACTTTTTTTCGCAAAATCTATAAAGGACCCTTTTATATCTCAAAAAAACCTGGGTAACAGTTATTCGTAGCCACGCTGTACTTTTTGGTAATTTGTAACAATAAATTGCACAAAAAATTTTACTCCTGTTTTATGTTTGTACTGTTTTTTTTTTCTATCGAAAATAGAAATTTACTCTTTTCTCCGTTTCAGAATTTGGCAACCCTAATTCCATCTTTTTAAAATACTTCGTACATATTATTTTCGCCTTATCGGATTTTCGGTGCATCTTCTGGACTTAATTAATGTGCTATATAACTATATATATATATATATATATATAACTATAAACGCGCAAAAAAAAAATAAAATAATTACCTTAATCTTTTTCGAAACTATGCATTTCTAATTTCTCTTGCTTCGTATATAAAAATATGAGTTTTCTTAAAACGTGGACGCGGAAACTTTTTACTCTAAGCTAGCGATGTGTATTAAATAAAACTTCAAAGTTATATGTATTGTTTCTATTTACTCTCGATTGACTGAAGTCTTCGTGAGAAAGTTTATTAAAAACCACGATCGAGTAAAATACAATTTATTTCCTTTTTACAGATTTACGTTGTTGGCTCAGGTGGAGAAGCAACAGAAATTGGCAGCTGTGGCCTTGGTCCACAAGAAATCGGTACTGGCTGCCAGCATTGGCATGACATGATCAATAATGCGCGTAAGCCGACAGCAATGTGGCACTTCATACGTTAAAAACAATTTATTTTATGTATAAATATACACATATATATATTTAGCTAAACACATTCATAAATACATACATACATATGTAAGTATTTACATTTCTAAATAAATGTATAGCGACGTGGCGTGCATACGTACTTATATATGTATATATGTACATATGTGCAAATATCTGTGGGATTCACAACGGTGTCTTAAGTGTCGCATTGTTGTATGGACCTTAAAAGCTTAAAAAAAGGCTTTAGAGAACTTAAAACCACAGCCAACTATTTTTTAACACTGCGAAAATTCATAATATGACTTTGATGGTCCTTTCTGAACCCTCTTAATAATTTTTTTTTGGCGTTTAAAGTTTACGATATACAACAATACGACACTTACGACACCGCTGTGAATACCCCAACCGTCTATATGCAAATACACTTTTTAAGCTTTCTCCGAAAATATTTTATTTGATTAAAATCTAGAAAGCTTGTTTCTGAAAAGGTTTATAAAAAATGAATATATTCATACATATTTATGTACATGCATTAACAAACAAATATCAACTTAAGCAACATATATAGATATACATACATACATACATACATACATACATATTGTACATACAATCAATTGTACACTCATAATCCCACTGGGAAAATAGGTAAGCACCTTGCGAGGTAAGCCATGTTTTCTTTCAGTTTTTAGTACCAAAATTGTCATCATGGCCAATGTCATCTACTAGTAAAGGGCAAAATGAACACCTCCGAAGACACATTACGTTGTCAGTTGCAAAATAACGTGCAGCCGAAGTTATTTCCAAGCACCGAACTACTCCGAGCGACTGCTCTGCATTACACGTAACTTACTTTGTAAAGCGGCTCAGAAGTATGTCTGATACCAAATGTACATTCTAAATTCCTACTTACATAAGGCGGCCATGCCTTTGTAAAAGTAAGGGACGTTCGGCAGGGAAATGGTAATGACTGCCAGGTGAAGAGTAAGTTGCTAATAAGGTATTATTACGTGCTCCTAATTCCCACTGGGATATGAATTATTCCTATACATATGTATATATGTACTTAAACAAACTTACTTTAAACTTGCAAATATGCAGTGTATACAAGACCGTCTGAAGGACTAGCGGACAAAAAATTATGTTTTAACAATCGTTATTGTAAATCACATGATATGCTTTGATAAGAGCTTTGCTAGAATCGTTTAAGAAATTTATTATCTAATACGTGTCTATAAGCCAGCAAGCAAAGTATGAAATTGTGTTCGTATGTGTGTTCCAGAAAAATCAGAAATAAAACTGGATATGTGGAAATTATGTAAGTGTATTTGAAAAAATAACAAGAAAATGTATGTATTCTATGCTGAAAAGGAATAACATCTAAAGTGGATTTAAGACTAAACCTTTTTATAATCAAAAATTGTTAATTTGGCCGCTTTAATATTTATTAAAAAAAAAATAAAATAAATGAACACAAGCGCCATTTTCAATTTGCAAGTCAGTAATTTTATAAATCGGGAGAAAGCCTTTTGTAAAAGATTTTTGCCATTCTTTAAAAGCATTTTCATCAAGTATAAGCATTTACATACATAGATGTTTTTTTTATCAACAAGATTAAGGTATTTCTATATATGTATTTAATCATCACTTCTTACGCGGTTTCGAGTATTCATCATCTCTTTCATTGCATACATATTATTTTTTATTTTTTTGATTCTCTGCACAAAGAATTATTAAAAATTACCGACTAGTCTCGCTTTTTTGCATGTCAAAATTCTTGCAAAGGACCACTTAGGCAAAGAATTGTGCATTTCTTGCGCATTCTTCAATTACCAAAAAGAACAAACTAGTATTTTGGTGCAATAGAGCCTCGACAATTTTGTATTCGAGGGGGCATGTGTTTTTTATTCTTCCTTCCTTGTACACTTCTTTTACATGTCAAATGTCAAGCAATATTTTAATTAGCGAAAATCTTTGTAAGAGGACAATTACATAAGTACATATATACATACATATGTACTTATGTATTTTGGCATAACCTTTTATTGATATGTTCAGCTTTGTCAACGAGCATGTCAACTTCAGCACATATTCACGTTCATTTCATCAATAACTGCCTACCCCACCCTGAGCTTGTGTTATTTATAATTTATTCATAATTTGCCATCAATCACTTTTAGAAGGACAATGTGCAACCAAAAGTAGAGTCAATGGGTGCGTTTATTTGTTGAGTGGAATGACACAGCCCAGCCCAGAATCGGTACTCGCTCTTAGTGGTAACGCGTTCTAGGACGCATTGCCTTATAATGTCTTCTAATTTTTTCGCTTATTTTAGGCATTGCCGGTAATGAATAACAAAATGTTGTACAATATTTTTTTTAATTTCGCTGCTTTGATTCATTACGGGGAATGCAAAGTAGAATGCTTCATTGAAAAATAGAATGAATGCCCAAAAATTATTTTCTACCGTTATGGTCTGATTACGCATACATCGCATAACTTCGCATAAATTTCAAACTGTCAGGTGAAAATCTGTTGAATGCATTTTGTATGTCTTCCATTACCCAGAAATTAGCAAAAGTTGTGAAAAATTAGCGATTCTGGCAAATTTTTTTTAGTTTCACTTTTATTTCAACATATTTTGATTAAAAGAAAAATACTGATAAAAATAAAATTTTTCATAAAAACAGGGTTGAAATCCGGCCCTTATTTTATTTGTAAGTCACATATGAGTGGCATTGTGCTACTATGATAACACGGCCGAGTAATCATAGCCAACTTATGTACAGTAGTCGAAAAAATTGTAGCCGCACCAAATTTTGACAAGTTTTAAAATATTATTTTGGGTGGGGTTTAGTAGCGCTCACAACTATTTCGGGCTATTCCGTCCAAAGGGGTCCCCCGATCCAAAAAAAATTCCATACAGTTGTAGTCAAGGGTCTACGCATTATTTTAGCACTCACTTTTGTAAATTTTGGTCACTAATTTATTTACAAATTGGGTTTGAAATATGCCCTTCTTTGTCAAATTCGGAAATTAGCGTACATTTATCACTCCTATTCTCCTTAAAGCAGCCACTTCACCAATACATTTTTGTATTCCCCTTCACCTTACACTTTACTCGATTAGTTATAACTAGCTTTACGACTTTAATATTAACCAATTAATCACAATTCATTAAATAAAAACACCTTCAAAATCAGGCGTCTGACTTTGGTTGCATATGCAAATTGAATGGCGGAGTTCAGCTGTCAAACTCCAAAATATGCAAAAGAATGAGAGACAAAAGAAGATAGGATATAACCCAGTAAGCATTAAAAATATATAAAGGTGTTCTCTGCAAAAGGTGTTCAGCTCCTTTTCTTCGCAAAACAGAAAGGAGAATTCTACTGCCTGAGGGTGTTACGCCTTTTTAGAAAGCGGGGACCGTCCCCCTCCCCCTCCCCCTTTGCCCCACACCCCAAAAACGACGTGAGCGCTACTAAATATTTCCCACTATGTTTGTTGTTATTTAATTTCGGTTCGTTTTTTATAGTTCCTTCTTTACCAACATCCGTATAAATACAAGTTTAAAGGCAGTGTCCCAAGATTGGATATTTGCCAAAATTTGGTGTAAATCGTATCCCAATTGTTTGAACACCCAAAATATTTTTCACTATCCCAATCACGAAAATTAATTTATTGAAATTTCTCAATAGAACGTCGCTGTATTGTTTTTTCCCTTTTTTTTACCAATAGCCTAGTATAAAAATTTACAAATCTGTACAAAGGTACCAATCGAGTGACACTGCCTTAAATATTTATGCAATTAAAAAAAAAATTTAAAATTATCGTTAAAATTTCGAGTATTTTAATTACATTCTGAGTATGCAGTTTTGTAGCCCATTGAATTCTAGTAGAATAAAGTACACGTTTCAAATGGCTAAAAATGTGGATTGATTTTGAATTGAGAATTTTTAAAAATTCGAGATTTGTACGAAAGTTTGTTGAATTTTTTTTAATATTGCACAAATGAGTAGTCCACTTGCAAATAACGTTATGTGATTTTAAAATAGTGAGCCACAAATTAAAAAAACATCTATAACAACAAGTAACATCCAAATTGTATATTTCTCTATATTATCTATTTGGATAAACAAGAGGCTAATAACATTAAAAAACAATATCGCAGTGTGGTAGTTTTTGAAAATTTTATATATTAAAATTGAATATAGCGAGTTTTGAAACAGTAACTTTTACATAGCTTACTTTTTTTAGCTTTTCGCGTTCGCCCTTCCATGAAGATTGGTTTGCTTCTTTTTGACGACGCCTTCCACTAGCCACCCAAACTACCACGTTTTCTTGCAGGTTTCTAAGTTCATCAGAAGATGGAGACTTTTGAAAATGTATAAACACCTACATCCCCCCCCCTAAATACGGTATTGCATGCCTGTATATTATTTATCACAGTATATACAGTAATAAACCTTTTCGCAGTTTTCCCCAATTGGTCCCCGAGGAGTACTTTTGGGTTGTGTGCAGAGTTTTCGTTTTGCGCGCACTGCAACACTTCCTGTGAGAGAAGGTTCCTAAACAATGCTTTCCTTATATACAAAGTGTTATCCCTTAGGATAATAATGTAAGGTTGCCACTTATTTTCGATTCTACACAACTTATCTTAATCCTCGCTATATGGATATCAAATGAAAGCTATTGTTGAAAACTTTGGTCCGAAAATATTTTCGATCAGGGTTGCCACGCTTCTATGTAATATCAATTTTTATTTTGTTAATTTTAATCAGCATTTTTTTGTGTATGTATACACAGTGCATATACGCTCAAGATATATTTTAAAGTAAGAAAGTTACTTAATAGATATCGGAAACCCAATTTTGACCTAAAAAATATTTCTAGTGTTCAAACTAAAGATTTTTTCACACTTTCGTTTGAAGCCAATATATACGCCCCTATTTTAATGCATGTTTGAATTAGGTAATTGCCTTATTTTAAGTTGTGTTGGATATTTTAAACAGTGTTCAATCCTCCTAAATATATTTCAGAAATAAACCATTTTCAAAACCTTTTCCATGATACCCATTTTTCAGAAATTCATCCAACTTTTTAAATAATTTGAATGCCACTTTTTAAACACGTGGCAACCCTCTTAAAACATTCTAAATGTTCAAACTCAAGTTTTCTTAACACCCTTTCGCTTCATATTTCAAAAAACTTGCGTGGGAGTTAAATTCGATTTAATAAAACAGGTGGCAAACCTCTTCAAAAGTCGTTTGCGCTAAGACATTCTTAAATATCCTTCGTCTGACATTGCGATACATATTTTAATTAACTGATGAATGAAGTTAACCTTTATTATTTAAACATGTGGCAACCCCGCTAAATAAGGTTCAAAAGCAAAGATTTTTCAAACTCCATCCGATTTATACCCGCATTTTAATCATTCCATCTA